CAGGGTTGCTATGTGCACGATCGCAGCGCCCTCAATTTTTTTCATGACTTTATAGACAGACTGTAACTGGAGTACGCAAGCAAATAGTTTTTTCTTTGCATGCTTTATTTTCCTAGGAAATTAGAAATAAATCTGTCAACTCAGCGCTCGTTGGTATCTTATAAGTTACTTTATTCACCGGTCTTAGTTTCAAAGATCCGTTCATTAGATAGTGCCACGAGCGAGTGCGGAATCGAAAAAGGTACCACTGATCCCATCCTCTTCAACTGTCTGAAACAACCTACGTCATATGAGCAACTTCGATCTAAAACCCCCCGTCCCATTAACCTTAATACTATCTTGTCTATTTCTAACATACTTATCTTTTTGCGTCTTGTAAGCTTATCTACATGCAGTGGCGTAGCCAGGTAATCTAGGGCCCTGGGGCAAATAAAAAAATGGGCCCTCTGCTCGAAAAAAAATCTTGACTCGAAGTTCACAATCGCGAATCACAAAAACGCATATCGATAAATAATAATATACAGATATTGATATCCGACAAATTCATGAAAACATTAATAACACTGTCAACCCACACAAATAATTTAGGGGAATTCCCTTTTTATAACTTTGGAAATTTCTTACAACTGAGTTGCCATGATTAAACTCGAGTTGTCACCTGTCATATTTATTTTGAAAATGGGAGAAATTTTCAAAAGTTGAGTTCGATTGAGATTTTCTGATAAAGATTCGAGGGCCTCCTGAGCTTGAGGGCCCCGGGGCACTGCCCCGCCTAGCCCCTTGGTAGCTACGCCACTGTCTACATGGCACTATCATATATTTATTGCGATATTTTTTATTTAATTTACTAATACAATTTGTGACGTTTGCTTTGTTTTGTACTTTTAGAACAAGGGAGGAAGAAAACTATTAAAAACCGTTTCTCACTATCCCGCAAAATTTCTGTGTAAAACGGAAAAAGGTCATTTATGTATATAAAAAAAGTTACTTTATGCTCGTTGGGCTCGTTCTCTCTCCGTGAACCTCCCGCGTGATTTTTTATGACACTTGTCTTATTCTATTACTTTTATGTTAAGGGGTAGAATCCACCTATCCCACATTAAAAAAGATTGCATTAAAAAATTTATGTTGCACAGCGACTTCCTTGGCTTCAGAGAGGCTTTTTTCTAAAGCTGGTCAATTCCTTTAACAGCAACGCAATCGATGTTTGGGGAACATCGATGGTTTTCATTGAATGTTGACTTCGATGTCAATATCGATGTTTTTCCAATATCGATCATCCCTAATTTACTCTAAAGGCCGTTGTTACTTATCGATTTGACATATTTACTGGCCTGTGACGTCACGATCAGCGCCATTACATAGAGCAGTGTTTTTCGCGCGCTTTTGGCTGTGTAATTTTTTTTTATTTATTTATTTTACAAACTTTATTGTCCATTAAATTGGTACAAGAGGCGGATACAGAAATACACGATGGCGGCATAAAGTTAACTTATAAATATACTACTTAAACTACACTTTAGAAGAATTTATATACAATTATATAAACATAAATATTATACTACACTTATACTTATACTTATACATTACACAAATCCATAAATATAATACATATCGACGGCGAAGTGCCAATACCTTCTAACTAACACAGACAAAATTTTACACAAAGTGAAAAAAATGTTTAATTTCTTGAAAACGTTAAAATCAAGAAATCAATTTATATGGAGCACATATCAATATGACAGGCTTAGGTTTCAATAAAATATTAATTTGATTAATAATCGTTTAGTAGGTATTTGGTTAGATAGAAGGTATTGGTTTAACATCCTCAGTGATTTCATTAAATAAATTGTACGATAGAAGGTATTGATTTTAATTAAAACAATAATTACTTTGAAAAATTGCTTTTACGATTGATATTGTTGTATTGTTTCGAGTTGCGGATTATCTTGGGTTTATGCAGCCCAGTATCACTGCGACCATTGCTGATCTATTGTGATCTCCACATACTACAGTTCACGGTCAAGATTACATTCTACAAGGAACTGTAGTATTTTCTTGGCCGTAAGTTCTTTAATATCGTCTGGGTGCATCACGTGCTTTCCCAGATAGATACATCGTTTTCGCATTAGTGACGGGCAATCGGTCAAAATGTGCAAAGGTGTTTCTTCTTCCTCCTTGCATCCTCTGCACATTCTACTGCCGCTGATCCCCATATTGTACATGTGTCTGTTCAGTCCACAATGCCCTGTGAGTGCTCGTACTAGTGTGCGAAGGTGATTTTTGGTTAAGTTTAAGGCCTCTGATGCCGCCTTTTTGTTGAAGGTTTTAATCAGGGTCTTAGAGTGTTTCATACCGGGAGTGTTTCTCCATAGTTGAATAGCTGCGTAGTGGCAGTATGTTTTCAAGGTGAGCTGGGTTAGGCTTTGAGGGATGCCACAGAAAGGTTCTGGTCCGATAAGGGCGTCTTTAGCACCCTTCTTCGCCAGTTTGTCCGCCTGTTTATTGCCCTCGTGTCCAGCGTGACCTGGAACCCATCGTAGAACTACTTTGTTGTTGTTGCCCAAAGAGTTCAATGTCTGTTTGCAGTTCTCTACCAGCTTCGATCTAGTTATGTCGGAAGCTAGTGCTAAGAGTGCAGCTTGACTATCAGAGTGGATGTAGATAGTATGATTGAGGTAGTTATTTTGCAGATTGGCTGCCGCACATTCCAAAATGGCGTACACCTCTGCCTGGAATATTGAGGAGTACTTTCCCATGTTCAGACTTATAGCCTTCCTTGGGGCTTCTCCATGAATTCCACATCCTACCTCAGGACCGGATTTGGAGCCGTCAGTGTACCACTTTAGGCTTCCATTTTTCCATACTATACGATTGTTTGACCAGTCGTCCCTGGTGGGTATCTCCACAAGATATGACCTGTGTGAATCGATCTCGGGGGCATGGTGTCAGTAGGCATCCCCAGGATTGGTATATTGCATATTGAGTCCTTCAGGTACCTCAAATTACCTGACAGCTATGTCTTCGCCTCCATGCTGGTAATCCTGTACATACTAGCCATGTACATACGATTGATATTACACCCTCGCAAGTGACGTGACGCAACCCTACCGCTAACTTCACCCATATCACGAGCCGCGGCGCGGCAGCCGCTGTGAAAAGTTAATCGGCAATGTTCCGCGTTGAGATGTAGTAGTCTTGTACGTAGATAGGAGAAATTGCCATAAATTATATACGCTAATTTAGTTAGAAGCTATTTCCACATTCATTTTTCTCCAGTTGTCGTAAAAAATACGGATAGGTGATTTCCTGAACCCATGTGGAAAACGACCTTAACGTCAATGAAATAAAAAAGTCATTTTCTCGAAAAATGTTAGATAGGAGGTATTGGCACTTCGCCGTCGATATATGATGATGATCTTCATAAACGTTCCAGGAGAAAAGTGTGAGCTTTCCGTTTAAAGACGAATTTGTTGGGAGATTGTCTGATGGTGTCGGGAAGGCCATTCCACAGTCGTATGACTTGCAGGGTGAAAGAGTCGGCCATAAAGCCAGAATGGAAAAGTGGAGTAGATAATGCAGGTGTATTAGCAGAACGCAGTTGTCTGTCATGATAATCACAAAGGTATTGAAATTTACATTTAAGGTAAGTTGGAGAATTAGGGTTAGAAAGTATGGAAAAGAGCATACAGAGCAGCCGTAGCTGTCTGCGCTGACGAATAGGAAGCCATTTTAGTTGAGACCGATAAGACGAAACATGATCATACTTGCGAAGGCAGAAAATAAAACGAATTGCATTGTTGACAAGGCGGTCCAACTTATTGAGATCTTCATTTAAATCAGGGTAACAGACATCAGCATAGTCAATAATAGGAAGAATAAGGGAAGTGACGAGGGTGACCTTAGTTTTGATAGGAAGGCAATATCTGAAGCGATTAAGCGAGTGCAAAGAATAAGTTACCACACGACTGACCTCGGCAACCTGTGATGTCCATCTGAGCTCCGAATCAATATGAAGTCCAAAGTTTTTAACTGTAGAGCTGAAGGGTATTACAGACTTTTCGTACACAACAGGTGGGAGTAGACCAGAATCAAGTTTAATAAGCTGTTTGGAGCTTCCTACAATAATTGCTTGGCATTTTGTAGGGTTCACCGAAATACCAAACTTAGTTGACCATGCACTGACATGAGAGAGATCCTTATTCAATTTGGAAATACCTGTTATAATTTCATCGGTCGTTGTTTGCACATATTTTGCTGTTGTTTGCGCAAATCATCTGCATAGAAATGATAAGAGCAGCCGAGCGTGAAAGAGAGATGATTAATGAATATGGAAAAAAGCAGAGGAGAAAGAATTCCTCCCTGTGGGAGGAAATTTTAACAATTATTTTCACGAAAAATAGAAAAGATTCCAATGAAATATTATGACAGTGTGTTTATAATGTAGCAAACAACGATTTAAAATAGTTTTCAGAAAAGTGTCAAATACCCTATTAGATGTTTTGGGTCTTTTCCACACCATTTGGCACTACAACTTACCATGATTAAACTAATAACCACTTTATTACAAAGAAAAGTCTTCTCGTCGAAGCATATATTCCAGATCGAACACTTGGTCGTAACGTAACTGAGGATTCGCAAAGGCGCATTGTTACTTTTGTTAAAACGATCTATGCAGAATCATAGATGATTGGCTACAGCTTACTGTCTTTCATGCGGCATCTATTGGTGGTCATCTGTATTATTTATCCACGAACAAAGACTTGTATAATGCTGCCATTAATATAGGAACTTTAATGCCTAAGATTTAATTTAGAACAAAACATCTTTTTTGATTAACATTTGGAAATATACAAATCACTTGACAAACTCCATCAAGCAATGATGACTAACCAAGATATATATAAATACTTGAAAGCTATAAAACATTTCCTATAATTATAAAAAATAGAAGAGTGCAATACTAAGGCAAGGCTGTATGGTCACCAGATCTTTGCCTCAAAAGGAAAAAAAAAGAACAAAAACTACGAATGAAAAGTGATTTCGGAGAGAAAAATTGAAGCCTTTTCATGTGATTTTGTGAATTTGTGTTTGTGAAAAATTCATCGTAGACTGTGTTTGTATAGTGTTTTTGGTGCAAAGTTCCCAAAAAAACGTACCGCTTGGTAGTAATATGAGTAATGTTACCAACCAAAATGGAACAGGTCTAGAGCAGCAGGTCGGTACCTCATGTATATGCACTTTGTATTGATTTTTGCTTTATTGAATGAAAAAGTGACTTCTTTAGGCGTATTCGTATTGTTTTTGCTACTTAATGAAAAGTTAGTTATTTCGTTTTAGTAAATTATCGTAATCTAACTGATTCATAGATAAATTTCGAAATTTACGTGTCTGGGGCTAACCAACATGGCGACTCGATTCTTCTCCTTGTACGGCATTTTTACGCTAGGTATTGCATGATTCTCAACCTTCAAGTGTCTCCATTAGTTTTCCTCGAGGTGGTAGTTTTCCAAGACATTTAGTAGTGAGGTCATTGTCACAATAAAATTACGTATCATGGCGGAGAAAATTTCTAATCGCATGAACACGGTTGCAAAGTTGCTGAAAAGCAAAAATTCTATTATATAGAGCTGAAAAATTACTGAAGCGATGTTGTTCGTAGCAATTGTGTGATAGTCACTCTATTCTTGCCACAAAAAAATTTGTTGCTAATATATATATAGGTTATCTGACTTTTTTACATTGTTAGGCATGACATATAACAGTTACAAAGCACCTTGTAATATAGGAAAACATACATATAAACACTTTAGATAAACTAGGTATGATTGTTGACTTAAAAAAGCAAATGTAATGTGAGGGTTAATTTTTTATATTAATTGAGACATTTCAGGATAGTTCAGTTTCAGTTATATCATATATAAATTTATTTTTAGCTTGCTGGTCTGGACTTGCAGCCTCAGGCTCCTAAGAGTGCTGGCCGCTACATCCCCCCTCATCTGCGTAGGCAGTTGCAGGCCAACACCAATCAAGGTAACTTTCAGCTCTCAAATCAGGCTACACAAAACAGACCCTAAAAAGAGTTCATGTCAATGGTGTTACATGTTAATGAGCAAAAAAATAGCTTCTAAATGCTAAATTGACAGTCAGAATCTTGGAAAATCCAGATTTTTTATTTAAATAAAAAAGTTCCTCCATTTCATTAAAGAGAGAAAAATGTTTTAAACAGCAATATAAAGCCTTTCAAGTTACATTCAGTTGGACATTAACACCACATCTGATTATACAAATCTGTAAATTTTCATCACTTGATTTTAAACCTTATAATGGTTTGGAGGTAGTGTTTAAAATCAAATGTAGGAATTTTGACATTGTGGTAACCTGACAATCAGAAGTTTGTATATATTAATTTTCAAATTTCGTGTGTTATTCTCACAATACATTATAAAGATATTAATTATTAAAGAGAATGAACACCTCTGATTAGCATGTAGGTATTTTTTACAAAATTGTTATATTTCCCATATCATACATAATATTATGTTTAGATTTTCTAGATGTTCTGCAAAGTATATAGATATATATTCACAAAAAAAATATTAGTTTATGGAACTACAAAACTTTTGGTTTAAGTAGAATAATGAGACCTTAATTTACGATACAATATATAAACTACTAATATAGTAATGGTAACTGATATGCTTCTAAAAATTTGAATATAAGATCTTCAGTGTAGGAAGTATTTAGTTGGATTATAATATAATACAGATAATAGACCAAATTATTGTAATTACCAAAAATAGTTGAAATTAGAAGCAAGACAAACTATTATTTTGTAGAGAAATACTTTAAACAATTCAACCATCTCAGAGATAGGCTTTGAATTACTTTTTGCAATCAATATTACATTGGCAATACAAAAAGTAAAATGATTGCAGAAGAAGCTCAATGGCAGTAGTTAGCACATTTAATCTGCTGAAGTTCAGTAACTTTCACAATGGCTGCTCATAGTATGGGTGACAAAAACAATATTGTCTTTTTATTTTGAATTCCCTGTGCTTTGGACAGCATGTTAAGTCATTGAACCCAGCTGCTTCTGCAGTCCTTAATATCCATCAATCTGAACTGTTCCAGTGTCATGCATGGCCCATTCTTCTTATTTGTCTCTATTCAATTCCATACAAAAGATGTATGCGCTAGAATTAAAGACATTAATATAGTTAAAGCAACCCAAAATAAACATCAAATTTTAATAGGGGAAGAGTCTAAGCGTCAGAGCTTAGACACTCGTCCTACCGAACCACCGAGGGACAACCATTCATCATTCGGAAGCAACTCTAGAAACTACGACCGTGGTGGTCGGCGCGACGAGCGCGAGCGTGACCGCGACCGTGACTACGATCGCGGCTACGATTCGCGATACCCGCGCAGGGACCGCGGTAAAATCTCTAAGTATTTTTGAAACATGGATAATGACTACAGTTTTAGTATAAGTCTGTTGGCCACACTGACAAATTTATTATAAAAATCACAACCATACATACAATGAGATTAAATTGGTTAAGATTGATAAATCAATTAGTGGTTTTGTGTTGACATACTTATACGTATATCCCAAGTAGTTGTTATTACTAGTATGAAGAATTAATATTATCAGTCAATTATGACATATACTTTAAAAAATTTGGATGTTGTGGTTTTGTATTGTTTCTAACTTACATAGTAAAACAGTCCCGTTCACGGCGGGCGTTGTCGCAACCTTAACGGTACTTATTTTGCTTAAAAACAGTTTTGCTATCCCTGCCAGTTCTTCCAAAGAGCTCTTCAATCCTCGAGCTTTGCCGCGTGCCTCCATAAGTGTCTGCCCATGCCCCGATGTGTAATCTTAAAAGGCCTCTGCATTCCAGTAGGATGTAGGCGCTAGTCTCTTGAGCCTACGGGCAGGCTCTGCACACAGTGCTGTCAGAGTTACCCATGTTGTAGAAGTGCTTGTTAAAGTGGCCATTTCCAGTTTTTGATTTTATTAGTGTTTTCTTGAATAAGTCGCTTTTGAGATAAGTATTATTTATCACATTTTTAAGAGGATTTTAATTTTTAGTGATAATGTTTTTTTTTGCATATATTTAACATAGTGATAATTGTAGAATAGGATATTTTGTTTATTTGCTCAATATATATTTTTTTCCAATAATCTATATAATATTTTAAAGAGGAAAGATTTGATTGCTTGTTTGTTTGCATTAGATGGGCCCCGAAACTATTGGACCAATTTATAAAGGTCTTTCATCTACGGGTAGCTACATAATACGCTGCGGACATAGGCTTATAATTAATTCAGGCAAATTCGCGGGGAAACAGCTAGTCTGATAGAAATTGGTCCACAATTCAGGAAGAAATCGATGAACATATATAGACTTTTCTCAGTATATCTTCTATCTATAACTTTCATTACATCAAAGAGTAAAGTATATATACTCGTTGAAACTAGAAAATCTTCCTTTCAGATTATGAATGAATTCAAAATACGCAATCATAACAGACCATCTTCTTAATCAGGCGATGTCTGTCGAAAAGCGTAGTGAGTTTTGTTATAAAAGGTGAACAACTTATTTGAGTTCGATAAAATTTAAACGATAGCACATCAATCGATCAAGCTGTTGAATAAAATGAGAATTTTGAAAATAGGTCAACAATTGATGAAAATATCGGTGAACATACACAAAAAAAAACAACGTCGTCGAACATATCGCACCCCCGGTGCGACACTGTCACATTTGCAAAAAATACAAAAATTTGTTAAATATGTAATAATTGTCCTAAAGCCCCCTTTTCTTGGTGCGATAATGTTACTTTTGTAGATGAATACGGAACTACGTTCCGTATGATTCATCTCATCTGTATCTTCTAAAGTCATTGTTTTGTGAGGTGGCAGAGTTTAAAACTCTTCTCCTGAAAAACTAAATTTTTGCATCAGTGACAGTGTCGCACCGGGAGTGCGATATAACCTCCTCTTTTTCGATTTTGAACTCGATTAATAAAATAATATGTAGTACACTTTCATTTGTTAACATCAACAGAACTAGAACTTTCTAAATATTTGTATTGTAAGTCTATCTATCGACTTCACACCAAAGGTGTTTTAAATTTAAAAGTTATTAAATTTAAAACACGGTTAAATTCGTCTGAGATGTTTCGCTTGTAAGTACAAGTGCGTTTTGATCCACTATGAAAATCATGAGTTGTACTTACGATAAATCAATTTTAATTTCATAAAAATGAATTTTATACAACTTTCAACTTCAAAGTAAATGAGTAAAGCGCAAATGTAAGTGATCTAACGATTAGTACAAAAACCTATCTACGACTATTAGTGGTTTCAAGTAACTTGAATATAACTCCGTCACTAAGATGTTAAGCGACACCTACCCAGAGACCTATAGACGATAAACAAAAGACCATTGCCACATGGTTAAGTGAATCACGTCATTGCGTCTAGCTGGAAATCGATGTCAAAATGCTGTGTTGCATCCAGTGTGACGTTACCTTTTTCGCTCAAATATTAGATTTTTTTCTTACATGACTCTGCTGCACATGATATAACGCAAAGGAGACTCATTAACCACCTGACCTCACTGGATCAGGTGGAGTTGCAAACTGCCTATAGGTGAACGGCTGCTTTAGGGAGTTAGAAAGGAAATAAGGATAGGATAAGATTGGGTTTGTGGGATCGCGAGGTAGGGTTGCGTCCGACAATGTTAGTTATACACTCACAGGCAGAATTAACCGCCCACCTTCTTTTTCTTTTAATTCGCAGAAATCGCCAAACTTATACCATATTTTATGAAAGGAATGTAAAAAATTATACTTAAAAAAAAGAAACAACAAAAATAATGGAAAAAAGTTTTTTATTAAAGGATGCTTACTAAAAATCTTTTATTTGAAAATCTTCAATGAAAATTGTAAAATTTTGGTTTTGAAAATAATGGTGACAATTAAAAGAAAAAATGAAAATTAATAGTGGGTGTTGCCACCTTAGGCCCTTGTGATTTGTTGAAGCCGGTTTGTCAATCCATCCACGATGTCTGAATTTCCGATTGGGAGATATTGTGCCACTCCTCTACTGCAGCTGTTTTTTAGCTCTCCTGTACTCGTAGGGACTGGTACTCTAGCTCGGACACGTCTTTTAAGGTTGCCCAAATGTGCTCTATTGGGTTAAGATCAGGATTGCGTGCGGGCCATGGTAAAACTTGAATCCCTACCTAATTAAGGTACTCGGATAGGTATGACGGAGCGAAAGGTATGACATGGTATGACTTGAATATCTTGAATGTCCACGTATCTTGAGGTGGCGATCACGGAAAGGTCACAGTCAGGCGTTCCTAGGGGATCTACATGACTCACACTAACTCTTTTGACCCTTTGCCAGATTTTTAGTCGGGACAGAATTGTAAAATAGTTAATATGTAGCTTGGTGTTATTAAAAAACTACAGATTAAATCTAACCCAGTCCTTATATTATCCAAGGTATACAAGTAAAGTGAAATTATGAGTGCTTATTAACTCATGTTTTTTAAAATTTAAATTCTTTAATTATGCACTTACTCTATATTTAGATCTATCAAGTTAATGAAATTCCAAAATAAAATTATTGTGCAATTTTAAATCATTTGTTAATCAGTAGCAAATTCTCGGAAGTTTTGCTGAATCATAGTCAAATAATCGCTTTGTACTTCCTGACTCGATTCTGTCATACGTTAATGTACAGCATACTAGGTAATATTTACGATGGGTCAGTGACGCAGTTTCCAAATGTATTAAACAGACTTACAACAGCAGCATTGATATAAATAAATGCATTGTAGTTGTTTACTTCAGATAGCTGCTTTAGTATATTTAGTATATACTTATCCTTTCATTAGGTCGTGATCCGGGGTATCAAAATGGAGACTCAGATCGCTGGTCTGAATCTGAGGGTGGGGGCAGCAGGTGGAGCGAACGATCGGATCGCGGCGGGAGCGGAAGACCCCGCGAGCGGGAACGACGTGAAGAGGAATTCACCGAGCCGCCGCAGCCGCGCAATGACCGTTGGAAGGAGCCGGAGCCGCGTGTCGAGGAACGCAGTAATACTCGCTGGGCGTCTGATGACGTGCGTCGCACGAGCACCCGTGGTAGGGACGAGGTGAGTCCACGTCACAAGAACGAATATAGATGTGATGATCTTTCTGTAGGTAATTGGCTACTTGACTTTTTGGGAAATGTATTTTAAAACTTCCATATATCTACTCATATTAATTAAACCACTATCAGATATATTTTTCTTCAAGAAGTGTTTTCACGTCACATTTCTAGCCGTGACGTCATATTTTACCTATTTAAACTGTTGTTGTACCTATTAATACATATTTTATTGTTTACATATTTGTCACCATTTCCAACATACTTTTATAACTTGAGTAGTTATTTTAAAATTGAGTTACATTTAAATTCAACAATTCACACTAAAGACTTGAAAACTGCAGATTATAAATGAAAAAATCGAATGGAATTATAGAAAACTATGTTTTTATTTAACTGATTGCTCAATCAAATATTGTTTAGGCAGTATACCATTAGCTTGTCTCATCTTTAAAGATCAATTGATTCTTAGGTAATATTGATGGCTGAAATAAACTCAATCAATGGTTCTCCTCAATCAATGGTTCAGTTCATGCTGTCTCAAATATGGTTTTTATTTTCAAGAATGACTGGACGATCCCGTTACCTCGCGACGAGCGGCAGGAGTTGGAGCTGTTTGGCACTGGCAACACGGGCATCAACTTCTCCAAATACGAGGATATACCGGTTGAGGCCAGCGGCGACCGCGTACCGGACTTTATTACCAGCGTAAGTCAAGACACTTTGGTCTACAAATTCTATTACCTAAATTAGTTATGGCATTGCTTGATTTTTTTAACCAATGACTGACTGTTGAAATATGTCAATAACACACCATGTAAAATAGGTAAAAAAAAAAACAAATATTATTTTGTCCATCAGTTACATAAATGGACAAATATTAGATATGTTTACTTCAAATTAACAAGATATTACTAAATTAAGCTCACTATGTCATAACTAAAGGTATATAAAAAATGTACCGAAACGTGACGTCATGCGACATTTCCACTATGTATCGTTGTAATTTATCAATTACGCAAATAATAAAATTAAAGTCATCATTCCTATTATAAAATATTAAAACTCTTTTGATTCATTCTATTTGGACTTTCGTTATCATTTTTAAGTATTATTTAACCTAATTGGTGAAAGAAACTGTGACCTTTCTTTGCCCTACTCTCATGCAAGATTAATGTACAATATCGTGGTAATTATCTAATATCACGGTGTATGTACATGATGGATCATCTCATAATAGAATACCATGAAATGTTTTGATTGAAATCAAAGATTAAGCAACATATTTTACGGATATTCAAATTAATGTTATCTAACGACCTATTTGATTTTTTATTTGTTGTGTTAATGATATTAATCTGTACCAATAGTATAAAAGTAGTTTGGTGGCGTAGTGGATAAGCGCCGCGGCCCGCGATCGTTGTCATAAAGCAACTTTCGCAACGTCACGGCATGGGTGACCAAAACATTATTATCTCTAGCTATTCCGTGCTTGTGTGCTGCAGTGGGGACGTAAAAGGGCTGATGATGATGAATAGTATAAAGAGGAAATATTTGATTGTTTGTTTGTATTGAATAGGCTCCGAAATTACTAGAGCGATTTTAAAAATTCTGTCATTTACAGGAAACTATATCATACGCGTGTGCCATAGGCTCATTAATAGGGGTCTTAACGAAATGTGATGTTAGATTAATATTTAATAGTCCCTGTCAAATCAAAGCTTGTATGGACATGCTTTGATTTGACAGGGACAGCAAAAATCATGAAAATCGTGTGACATAATTATGGATGGCCTCTAATGATAGACAAAAATGATCTAATTACAATAACGAATGAGGAAGTGTGATTATTAAATGTTCATAAACAAAAAGATATAGAGTAAGTCGTTGACCTTTAATCACCTACCAAATGTGATATTATTTAAATAATTAATATCAGCTTGTCATAACCTAAAACATAAGAATATAATCGAGTCTCGTGTCTCCCTCACTACGGGATAATAGCAGAATTTCTGTATATAACACAACAACGACTTCAAAGTTACACTTTCTGCGTGTTACTTTATTCTATGATTACTTTACTATTTATTTCAAAAAAACAATAAAGTTAGAACGACTGGCGAGCGTTAGTGAAAAATAAATCACGAAAATGGACAAAACTAAAATTTACATCAAAATAAACATATAGAAGTCGCAAGATTATCGTATTATCTTAAAATTAGAAGTCGTGATTTTTTGTCTGTGAGTCACGTAACTTAAAACACGACCCGCCATTGTTTGACGTCACTGTGGAGATAGCTGTCAGAATTTACAAATCAAATTATGTACTAGATGGCAATGTTCTTAGCTTATTTATATTGATCGTTAGATAGCATTGTTCTTTTTTTTATTAATAATATTATACATATCGCCTTTTACACTTTATCGTTCACTACAAAAAGTAAACTATTGTGTTTTTTGAACAGTTCGAGCAGGTTAACCTGACGGAATTAATGCGCACGAATATCGCACTCGCTCGGTATGACAAACCGACGCCTGTGCAGAAGTACGCGATCCCCATTGTGTTGGGCCGCAGGGACGTGATGGCGTGCGCCCAGACCGGCTCGGGCAAGACGGCCGCTTTCCTTGTGCCCATACTCAACCAGATGTACGAAGCTGGACCTGTCAAGATGGGGTGAGTATTTATTTATTTATTCATTGTAGACACACCAATAACGTAACGTACATATGTTTGATATGTTAACTATTATAATTCTCTACGAATTATCGGAATAATTCGTGCATTAAATTGTTCTAATAATAATTACAAATCAAGTGTTTAAAGTAGTTTAAATTGCACAAAAACTAATATTTAAATTGAAATAAATATTCTGATTTTGAGTCTAAAAATCTCACGATTATCTTAAAAGTCGAGATTCTTTGTCTGTGCGGCATGTGACTTGAAACACGACCCGCCATCGCCACTGTGGCGACAGCTGTCATATAAGTCATACAAATATGCCTTTTAATTATAAATCGAATTCCTAGATGGCGCTGTTCTTAGCTCATTTATATCTTTTTATTTCGAAATCGATTGTTAGATGGCATTGTTCTTGTTTTATTGACATCTTTTAGTCTTCTACTCTATGCATCTGTTTTGTGCATAGAGTTAACGTTTTGTGTACATATCACAATGATGTCATGAAAATATGGCAGACGACGTTTTCGCGGGTATAAAAAAAGTTTAAATATTGATTTACGTTAATTTTACCAAAATATTTGTTTTATGGCTTTTTTAAATTAGAATAAACAGTTACAAAAGTAGAATACCCTATTATTTAGTGTGACTATTATATATATGTTTCTTTATTTAATAACACCGATATAATACGATACACATTTATATAAAAGCTATTGAGTACTAATTGGGCCTGAAACTTATTATAAATCCAGCCACGATGATTGCAGACATATCTATGGACAATGATACATAGGTGTTAAATAGTATTTTTTTTAACAAATAACTATTTGCAAGTGATAAATCGAAAATAAGCTCACTCTACAGTTTTAAGATCCCTTGAGTTTGACTTTATTGTAATCGGCAAGATCGCAAAGTGTCGCAATCCCATTTGTGCAAATACAAAGTCATGTGCACAATTTTTTTTTTTAATGAGAACTGCTTACAAGAATCCACTTTATCCTTGGTACTCTGAGATGAGATTCGAACCCACGACCTTTCGCAATTCAGGTGACTGCTCTAACCTTAAGAATATTTTCCAGCTTATCATTGTGAATGCAAAATAAATTATAAGTATATTGTAGTTGAAAAAATAATACATTGTTAACTACTTATAGTGGCTGTTTTATAACACAATGAGTGCAATCTCACCTTAATTTTGCTTTAGTAAATGTAATATAACACATTATTCGTTTTTGTCACAGGCCCTATAATAGACGCAAACAGTACCCCCTTGGGTTGGTGTTGGCTCCTACTCGAGAACTCGCAACCCAGATATATGATGAGGCTAGAAAGTTCGCCTATCGCTCCCGTGTTCGACCCTGTGTCGTGTAAGTATATTTCATCTGATATTTTGAAGGAGGGGTAATTGGCTCAGTAATAATTAGCGCGTTTGGTTTTATAACCATGATAAGTTTTATAAAGCGAAATTCATGTGTGTTTCAGAAGTATGTTAATAACCATTTGCGTTTTTAAGTAAACGTAAACTAGCGTTAATAACATAGAATTCCTTTCACTCACATTACGTATCCATAGTAATTTTGGTATTTAATTTTTTTTTAAAAATTTTAAATTTTTTTGTTGTAAATTTTTCGTGATAAAAATTGTCCTATTTCCTTTCCCGAGATCCAAATTTTTTCAGTAATTAGACGTGAAATGTAACACATATTTATAATATTAGAATTACTTTCGTATTTATAATATTAGTATGGATTGAAAATGGTTGTACATAATAATATTATTGTGATAATACATACTATTTTGGTAATGACATGATTTGTGTAAATGTCATTACTTATAATAAAGAGCTGGTAAGTTCTTTTGGTTGTTCTTCTTGTCAGCTAAAAGACGTCCTGAACAAGTGGTAGGGGAAATTTTTTTTTTGGTCGAATCAAAAGTCCTTGATATAAGCATACTTGAATACAGATATTTTCATATCGCCAAGTCTCCAAGCTGAACCGCCTATTTTGTTTGCAGTTACGGCGGCTCCCCAATACACGAACAATTCCGCGAACTGGAACGCGGCTGCCACCTGCTAGTTGCGACGCCCGGTCGCCTAGTGGACCATTTGGCCCGCGGCCGCGTGGCACTGGACCATTGTCGTCACTTGGTACTAGACGAGGCCGATCGGATGCTGGACATGGGTTTCGAGCCGCAGATCCGAAAGATCGTCGAGTGTTACACTATGCCGAAGACGGGCGAGCGGCAGACACTCATGTTCTCCGCTACCTTCCCCAAGCAGATACAAGTGTTGGCGCAGGATTTCCTGCATAATTACGTGTTTTTGGCCGTTGGACGTGTCGGCTCCACTTCTGAGAATATCACACAAAAGGTATGTGCTTCATTTGAAATTAATATGTTTGGTTTAAAGTTCTTCGCTTTCAATTTATATTGGTTCATGTGTTTCTGGGTTTCTTTTTGTGAAATACATGGGATGATTGGTAGACCTATAAATATATTGAAGCAGGTGATAGTAATTTCCAGCTGATTGCCCAAAACAATACATATTCTTGTATATATTTATTCGAAAAATGGCCAATATCCCAAGAATTATAAAATTTGCGTTATGTATGTATTACTGAGCAAAATTTATATTTCATTATTACTAGATGTTTGCCAGTTTCTCTCTTTAATGTTTAGTATGAATAATAAAGTTTTGGAATTTTTGTTCTTAGGTTGTGTGGGTGGAAGAAATGGACAAACGTTCATTCTTATTGGATCTTCTAAATGCTTCCAATCTCCTTCAGCGCTCTAGTCCCGAAGAGGACCAACTTATACTTGTCTTTGTTGAGACAAGAAAGGGTATGTTTGGTTGGACACGTAATGTTCAGAATTAATACTAATTTGACCTTCCCTTGTCAAATTGATGCTAATAGAGATACTAGTTTCTTGTTCAATAAATTACGTACACAATTCGAAATATACTCAATCTAATAAAAATATACCAGTTATGATCTCGGCGATTTTCGTGGGTGAATGACTCGAACGCTGTGTTCAATGTGTCAAGTCAATGCATTTTTTTTCTTTATAATGTGTCTCTGGTTTAAATAATGTGGAAATCACGTGTGTGTTCAGCCCTGTGATTCTGTAAAAACCGAAACTGAATTAGAATTCACTCGGGTGTTTACTTCAAAGAGCATCATCCGCTCAACATTGAATTAATAATATCGTTTCGTAGCATAAGTGAAGTGAGTTTCAAAATGACATTGGAATAGAATTCTGAGACGCATATGAATTAATCTTGTTTTGTATTTTTATACAAAAATGTGATCATCAGAATTTCTACTCAAAGTGATATGTCTTCGGACACATGAGTGAATTCGAATTTAGCTTTGATTTATGCAGAACTGCTCTGCTGAACAGCTTGTCTGGTTGTATATGTAGTCTTTGGGTTTTGTCTGTATTGATTTGTTTATATTATTATTGTCCAGGCGCTGACCAGTTGGAAGAGTACCTGGACACGCAAGGTTACCCAGTGACGTCGATCCACGGCGACCGTACACAGCGCGAGCGAGAAGAAGCACTACGCCGCTTCCGCTCGGGACAAACGCCCATACTTGTGGCAACGGCTGTTGCTGCTAGAGGTGACCAATATTATATAATTGTTACGTCCTAGGGTTCTACATCAAAATTAATACCAATAGGGTAGTTTCGGCTGTGAAAAATAAGTCATGAAATTGCATAAAAACTAAAATTCAAATCGTAATAAAAAAAAAGATTTGAAGATTCAAAATTAGAACATCTATTCTAATTTTGAGTCTTAAAATCTTATTATTTTAAAATTAAAAGTCAATTTGTTCACCCAAGAAAAGTCACAAAAGTCCAATAAAAAAATACGACACTTAACTTCACTAGTCCGATCACTAAAGTTGTCTAGATTAGGGTTTTTCAATGTGATACGTAAACTCCTAAAGGATCGTCGTTCAAAGATTCCCTACCATCAAATACGCGACAAATACCTTATTTTCTTCAATAACCAATTTGTGTTTGAATAAACTTTTTTTTTGTTCTGAAGAACAATTTTGGTTTTGCGGATTTACTATGGACTTTTTGTTTGTAGCATTGACATGTAATGTTTGATCGCTTCTCCAGGTCTGGACATTCCTCACGTTCGGCACGTAATAAATTTCGATTTGCCTTCGGACGTGGAGGAGTATGTGCACCGTATCGGTCGTACCGGACGTATGGGCAATCTGGGCGTTGCCACGTCATTCTTCAACGATACCAATCGCGGCCTCGCCAGAGATCTAGTTGAGCTGCTCGTCGAAGCCAAACAAGATGTGCCCAAGTGAGTACTATGCACTCGAACATAATAGGCCTGTGTAAAAAAAAAATTGTCTTTTTTCACTTAAACTCAAAATTTCTCAGATAATATATATTAAAAGTTATGGCGTGTAGAATATAGAAATTATGCAAAGGTCTTGAAATATTTCAACTAAATGTAATGCCGTTATTTATTGATTACGCAAAATAAAATAAAAAAAAAACGTATCTATAATCTACCTGACGGGCAGACGAAAAAATAGTCATCATCTCTTTTGATTACTCTACTGTTACGGGAAAAGTATTTTATAAATTTAAAATGATCAAATTAAACCACTAGCAGCCCGTTGCATGAAACCTCCATTAAACTAGTCGTTAGTTAAAAGCGACATTACAGATACAAATTTGACATTCATTAGTGCTTAAAAGTGCCATTAAACTTTAATGGATGTTTGTGTAACTGACCGTATGAGCTTTGTTTTTCTTCAGTGTTACTAGTTATTAATTTAAATAAATTACAAGATTAAAAGAATAATAAATTAAAAGAATATCCCGCGAAAAGAATAAATTACATGGCATTTCTAGCCGTGACGTCACATTTCAAAAATATGGTGCTTTTAATGGCAACAAAAATGTTGACGTTTAGTTTATTGAAATGTGACGTCACACCTTATGTCTGACCGCGTTTTAGTTCTTGTAAATCAAATCATAAATCGTAAGTTAACTTTGCAAAAATGAATTATGCTTACAATTAATTTTCTTACAAAAAAAACTACAATATCCGACATATTTCATTATTTATTTTAGAAAAAGACAGAGAGAGATTTCCTTTATTTATATGCTACACAAAATAAAAATGGATACAATAAATATCGGTACTAGAATATTTTGTTGATTATCAATTGTATGGCTAAAAAAAAATAATGAAAGTGGTCATAAAGCTGATATCAGACGGTTCACTTGAGTGAAGCTTCATTTTTCTTTCATTCTATATTCATACGGCTAAGACGGCATTATATAGAAACATAATTCACTGTTCTTTCCTTTTAATATATCATCAAATAAAATCAAGTCACAAATTGGAATATGTTTTGAATAAAGACAAAATGATCAAATGCAAATGAATGTTCTCCCTGTGTTCAGATCGATCATTTCAGATGAATTTATTTGGCACTAATGTTTCATTTAGTATTCAGATGTATCACTTGGAGTGAAAAAAGCATAAAATGACCCATCTAATATCACCTTGACGTCGTTAGTACATCGACACAATCGCATGCGAAAGCGAACCTGCGAAACCGAAAACCTTTTAACATTCGGTTAGCAATCAGAATAGGGACGGGTGGCGACCCTGAATGCGAAACATATACGTCGTTTTTCGCAGTTGACTGCGAAACCGTTCTGACAAGGAGGCAGCTATATCATCAAGCTTGATAATAGAGCGAGACAAAGCCCATGCGAAATATTACCATACAACTGGCAAGATTTCGAAAATGTTCCGCGTTCGCATGCGATTGTACGGTGTAACTAACGGTGTAAATAATCAGTTGGCTGACGAGCACCGCGGCGGACGGTCGCCTCGGCGGCGGCGGGCGTCGCACCGGCAGCAGGTCGAGCGGCAGCAGATTCGGCGGCGGGGGCGGCAGCGGGTTCGGCGCCCGGGACTTCCGTACGCAGCCAAGACAGGCTCCGCGCTCCGCCGGACCGTCTGCTATGTCCGGATCCGGTAAGTGCAAATACCTCTCAATGAGGAGGTATTTAAAAAAAAGAAAATACTAAAAAGCACCTCATTTAGATGGCGACCCTAGCAAAAGTTGAATTTTGCAGGAAACGAATGGACCAAAGACAGTCATTTCCGTTCCTTTTAACTATCATATTAAAAAACTGAAATTTGCAAAGTTCAAAACATAGATATACAAATATGAAAAACTACAAATTGAAAAAGAGTTGTTTATTGAGTTTTGAACATTTATTTACTTTTATACATGAAAGATGCTAAGAGTCTCAAAACACACTAAGGTATTGGGATTTATGTCGGTCACTATAACTGTATATTTCTTCACAAAAATTTCGTATCTGATTTTTAAACAATCTAAGGATGTGTACTATTTATGTTGCAGATTGTATATTATTTTTACTATGATATACACTTATATTAAAATAGTTCTAATATCTCTAGTGTAAATCGATTAAGACTGAAATTGTAAAACATTAACGAGTAAATATTATTCACAGGATTCGGGTACAGCGGTGGCGGTAATTATGGTGGGTCTTATGGCGGATCTTATGGAGGTGGCGGCGGTGGCGGCAGCGGCGGCCCTGATTGGTGGGACTCGTAAGCGTTCACACACATACAATAACACTGCGTTTATACGGAATTGTCCTGAACTTTATTTAGTATTACAGATACCGAACGCTTAAAAGAAAATCCGAACGCTAACTATAGTAAAAAAAAAATTTTGCACGCTCCTCAATAAAAATCATCAGTTTTGCAAACAAACAAAAAATTATATTTTAATATACCGTGTACCTACTATTTTTAAATTAAGAAGTATTGTTTTTATTTATCATGGTCCCATATTTGGATTATCCGACATGTATCGGTTCCATTTAGTTCGGATAATAGAGGTTTTACTGTCTGTTTCGACAGTGCTTCTTATATTGTAAAACATAAAACAATATGCGTACTCTGTTCCTAGGACAAGCGAAAAAACTAACGTCCAAAAGCATTTTATGTGAGCGTTGAGAGTATTTGATGGGTTTCACTATCCATATAACTGCATCGTTGCCTTGAAGTGCTGTTTTGTTGTAAGGGACCCTATAGGTCGCTGACTCCTCAACAGCAGTACTCCGCGGAAACAATGTACTATTTAATGTTAATATAATGCTTACTATCAATGTTCATATTTTACTTTGGTCTGCCCTAAGAACAGACAAAAAAAAATCTGCAGGACAATGCCGTATGAACGAGGTGTAATACGCACGCCGCACCGCCCACACACAATATTCACCCACAATTTACCACCTCCTCGCTGACACAGTTGTACGCCGACCTCTTATATCACTGTGTATCGTATAACAGAGAGGCCTTAATTCTCTTATTAAATAACATCTCCTTTGCTTACTTTAGAATCCAAAGAATATGACATTATTTGCGCAAACAAGACTTACCGTTTTCTATTATGACTGTATTTATGATAAATGTTGATAATACAGTCTTGGTTTATTAAATTTAAGTTGCAAAATACAATGCACTTTCTGTCTCGGTCATAAGGAGGATAGTCTTTGGAGCCATATTCATTTGTTGCTGCCTGTTAAGTTGATTCATAACACCAGTTTTAAAACTTGTTACTTTGAAAGGAAGAGAACAAAATATTGGTTTCTGTTGATAAATCTTTGTAGACAAAGATGCATATTATTTTACTCTGGCTCGGGAAGTGAATGCGGGAATTAGAACACTAATGTCACGTTCAGAGAATTGAGGCCTAAATCACATTAGATAGATATTGTGTTACCAAACTCTACGATCTTTATTGGCGTTTATCGGTATTCTCATCCAAATCAAAATCAGTATTGATTCATGTATAAACTGGAAAAATCAATGTAACAAAAATGTTTCGTTATATACTTATCAGATTAAATTGAATTGTAAAAAAATGTGGATATTTTCACTCTTATATTGAAGTCTTCCTTTTTATTTGATAAAAGAAATTATAATCCTAAATATCGTTGTTTCTTTAAATGAACAATAATTTATCATTGTTGTTTAAAGAAGTTGTTGATGTTTTTTTATAATTTACAAGTGTAAGAACTTTCTTTAATTGTGACAATTACGAATTTTGTTCAAGTCATCTGTGAGGGATATCTCAAATTTCGAGAGTAAGCCTGGCGTCGACTAGACACGTGATTTGGTTACCTTAGAAATTCACCCTGGCTGTGGTAATTTCGCCGTGTTTCAGCTTCGATAATGCACGATGTGAATACGTACAATGAACCGGCATTACATCTCTCACTCGTTGCGCACGAGTAACATATTGCTATTGCGCTCGCACAGATGTATATTGCCAGTTCTGTTATAGTAAAATGTTTACGATATCTATCAGTAAGCACAAAGATCAACGTACGAAACGTTGTTTCTGTTTAGCCACCGTGTTATAGTATAATATGTACATTTATATAGGGGTTAATTACGGCGAGTCAAATCGACACTATACAATTTAATATATTGCAAGACAGACAATTTCTGATATTTTGAATTATGACGTGACATTTCAATAAACATCGTTAAAACATAAATACTTCAGTCATACATATAATTATTTACTAAATTTGACGTCACATTGCATCAAGGTTCTACGTCATGGCAGCTCAAGTTTCGTTGGCTGTCTTGTATATATAAAAACCTTAAAATTTTATAAAAATAATGTATTTTAAATTTATCTTTGTACCTAATATATATTGCATATTGTATTGTAAAACTTATTATATTTCCAAGTGTTGTTGTGTAAAATGTTAATTTACATCTTATTTATTATGAAAATACAATACATGATACACAGTGATATATGTATATCGGAAATATTGTAGGCCCCTATTAGTTTGGCGATTTACTAACGCACATTTAAATCTCACGTGAAATAGAAAAAATATCTCGCGATAAATACGTATGCAAATCGCCATCGTAATAGCCCACCACTATTTCTACTTACCTATGGAAATAGACGAACATAGCAAAAAGCCTTCACCTAAAAGCAATTCGATTTTATGTCAACCATAATCCATGTCAAGTATTACTGATAATATTAAATAAATATACACGAAAATATTTTATAGACTTTTCATTTTATTGATTGTTGTAGATAGATAAATGATAAGTGTTAAGGTTTAATATAACTTGATACATCAAATTTACAGATTAGCCAATGTTTATTATAAATGCCTTTATAGGTTTTAACTGTTATTTACATGCTTCCTTGTTTTATATTAGAATTTTAAGTGAGAATTACAGTACCTGCCTAAGGTGTGTTGGAATAAATAAGCAAATAACAGAATTTACTCAAATTATTTGAAGAAATGAGTGCAGATTTTAATCTATGTTCGTCTATCGTATCTACGCTATACCTATCTATCGATGCCAAAGCTTGTCATCCGTCACAAACTACGGTCCCAGTCACCCGAATATATAGCGACTATGTGAATGTTAG